CCCCAACCTTATAAATGATCTTGAAATAGGCATTAAAAGCCATGTATCAGTGTTTGTAGATGACACAAAACTTTGTAAAGTCATAAAATGTGAGCAGGATTATGCTTTGCTGCAGAGGGATTTGGATAGGTTGGGGGACTGGGCACTAAAATTTAACATAGAGAAATGCAAAGTTATGCACTTCGGAGTTAAGAAGGCACAAGCAATTTACACCCTAAATGGTAGGGAACTAGGAATAACCAACACACGAGAATGATTTGGGAATTGTTATAGACAACAAATTAGGCAGCAATATGCAATGTCAATCTGCCGTTGCTAAGGCCAGTAAGGTTTTGTCATGTATAAATAGGGGCATAAATTATTGGGATACCTTTGTTTCCCTCATGGTCCAGTGTACTGCTCTGCAACTCTGTTACATGCAGTGTAGGCTTTTCTTGCAAGCTCCGGCATTCAGAAGTTTGCCGTGGTAACCCGTGACAACTCTCTAAGCAACCAGAGCTCACAGGAGCCATGCCGGAAGTCTGACCCAACAGAGGTGCTCTCTGTCCACCTCACTAGCTATTTATAATAGCTATATTTAACAGCTGTGAGCCGTGTTCTGGCCAATTTCAGAAAAGGGAACTCAATGTTAACAGTAAGAAATGGCTAAATTTGGATCCAGGGCTTTTCAGGGGCCAACCCTGGGCTCCTTAGAAGTGGTGTTTTAATCTGTTTATTCACGTCTATCAGCAGAGACAATGGCTGTCTTGAGTAGAAATTTAAACTCAGCTATCACATGGTTCGTGTTGAAATTGTTCTTCTTTAATGTTTGCACTTTTGTTTGGTTTTCCTGTCACTGGATTCAATCACTAAACACTGACAGGGTTATTTACTAAAGCAAGCATTCAGAGTGAATTTCAAATTCAACGTCAAAATAGTAAAAAATGAAAAATTATCTAAGTCAGATATGCTTCCAGTTTTGCTACTCTGGCCTTAAATGTGAAATTCACTTTGAACCATGTGACAAACTTAATATGCCAAAGGAGGTAAATAAATGGAGTAGGAAATTAGTATGGTAAGCATCCAGATACTATTTTCATATTGTCAGGGTGGCGGTCCGGGACCCAGACACTGTTCGGGCAGCGGTGCGAGGACCGGGACCCAGTATGCCTGATGATAAGTGGGAGTCTTCAGCGTGAGAGTGGATAGGTCAGGGTCTGGTGCTGGGTAACCGCATGCCCCCTGGTGTTGAGCACCAGCGTTTGTGCAGCCACATACCTAAACCCTGATGCAGCTACAGCGGATACCAGGAACTTGAAGCTAGGAAGTAAGCAGACCTCGCAGGAGCTGAATAGGGAGGCTCTGCAGCAAGCATGTATCCAGTACAGAAACAAGGCAAGTCTAGGATAGTCACCAAACATGAAAAACAAGACAGAACTAAGAGAACCCAGAACCAGAGAAGGATAGGAAGCTAAACCCAGAGCATGTACATAAGACATAAGGAAAACATACATAACATGGGCAGGACAGGACTGTACATGGACTGGGAATACTATCTAAAACAAGACAAGATATGATTGGCAAAACAAGAGGAGAAATAACTAAATACTATGTATGAAAATCATGGGGATTTAGTCACATTATATGATCACACATTGCATAAGCCTGCCAACAATGCCAATGTACCAGATATCTGGCAGGTCCTACACTGCCTAATGCAAGCTAGACCAACCAAAGAAAACACACATAGTACTTACCTGCAAGAAAGGGCAGAAGACTTGAGCAGCTGCCTGCAGGGACACTGAAACAAAAGGAATGATGGAAAACAAATGGGTGTGGCAACATAAAACAAACATTTAAATGAATCCTGGAGACTGGGAATTCCAGGGCCGAAATAAAAAGAATGAACCCAGAACCCCAGCATAAAGAAAAAAAGTCAAAGGATAGAAAACCATGAAACACTACACAAGAATTGTAAAAAGAGTACTGGATACCAGAAGCCATAGCCAGAATGATCCACAGCTAGGAACAGGATGTGACACATATGCCCTCAATTTGTAAATGTCATCCGATACATTAAAGGAACACTCTAGGCACCAACGCGACTACACCGTATTAGAGATTTTTTGTGCAAAGTCAATCAGGCATTGCTGAAGGATTTGAATGCTTCTTTTTGAAGCACAGTGACTGTAGATTATACTAGCTTTAGTGTAACTATAATCTTAATTTTATTAATGACAGGAGGCAAATATTTGCTTAAGTCTCTCTTTACTAGAACTCCACAGCAGCACATTAACATAGAGAGAAAAACCAATCAGGAAAAAGTAAAGAAACCATATAAGGCCCCTCCCAACCAACTACTTCCTCTTTCAAGCTGCGACAAAACCAGAGTAAATGAACAATATATAGTAATAGCAAAAGAAGCCAAACGAAATCAGCCAATGACTGTCATCCGAAACTCGAAACGAACGTGGACCAGTAGAGGGACCCTTAAACTGAAACGAGATAAACAGAGTCAAAAACTCTGAATTAGTGAAAGAAATGTACTGTGAAAACTTGAATACCCATAATCAATCACTGACAGTACAACATCCCAGAAAATACTCCCTTCATATTTGCTGTTTTAACGCTCAGACAGCAAAGCAAAGGAAGCATGATCCGACGGTCTAAAATAAAATTGGCGAAAGGTATCTTCTCGGGACCAGTCAGCTGAATGCATGATGTCCTGAAGAGATGCGCCCGCCAAGAAGGCTAGAGGCCGCCGCGCCTCTAACCGAATACGCTCCGAAAGTTGAATACACCCCCGCCAATGCCAACAACCATTTAATCCACCGCGCCAGAGTAGGAGATGATACCGGTTTGAGAGGTCTGACATAAGAAATCAATAACTGGCCAGAACGAGAAGAACGAAGAGGAGCGGTAATCGCTACATAATGAGACAGTGTCGTCGCTAGGCAGAGGAAATATGGGTAAAAAATAGCAGTCAAATCTGACTAGTATGTCTAGACACCCTAAAGGTTACCCCTTGCAGAGAGAAAGAAAAGGAGTCGACATCGAAGGCCCGGACATCTGAAACACGTCTAAAAGAAACAAGGTATAGTAAGAGGGCAAATTTGGCCAAAAGTTGGCGAAGGGAGAGGTCTTGATTATCAACAACAAAACCACGCGTACGTCCTAGAGGGAGGAATACTAGGCATCGGCGGTCGCAACAGTCTCATACCATGGAGAAGTCTGCAAACCAGCAGATCTTGACCGATGGGAAAACCTCTAAGCGGTATGTGGGCCACCGAAATTGCCGATCTAGCCATATTAACCGAACGATACGAGCGTCCCAGGTCAAACAGGTGAGACAGAAAATTCATAATGCTGGTTACAGGGCCCGTAAAGGTATTGTATGCCTTTCCAAGCACCAATGACACCAGGAGCTCCATGCTGATAAATAGCATCTCCTAGTTCCAGGGGCCCAGAAGTACCAGAGGAGGTCCTTAGCCGACTGCGATAATGTCTCGACATTCCAGGCTCTCCTGAAAGAGTCCAGGCCACGAAGCGCAGGTGGCCGCACACTTGCAGGAAAGCGTCCACCGCGGAGCACGCTGGATCTGTGAGCAAGCTGAAGTAAGTCAGGACCTCATAGTTCGTCCGGAAGGCGAAAAGGTCCACCGTTACCGGACCCCTCTGGTCTGCGACCTTGAGGAAGATGGGACGAAAGTTTCCAATCGCTGGCATCCCTCCAATGTCTGGAGAACCAATCTGCCTTCAGGTACGACTCCCCCGGCAGACACTCCGCCTGGAGGGTAATGTTGCGCTGGAAGCAGAAGCTGAAAATATCCTTTGTCACCTCCAAGAGCGTCCAAGAACGGGCTCCTCCCAAGCGGTTGATGTATTGCACCACCGAGATATTGTCCATCCGGAGGAGGATGCAGCAATTGATGCAGGTTCCAGGCAATTGATGTGGCCGACATGTGAAGTTGCCACCAGCGTAGTTCCGTCATCACTTCCAGAGAAAGGGGAATCATCTGATCGTAGGAAGGTCTCTCGTGTAGAGAGCAGGCCTTCAGATGCTGTATGGTCCTGTAATGAAGTGGGCCCGGGTAGATTGCCTAGATTGTGGCAGAGAGGAGACCGACACTAGCCAACATTCGCAGTGGGATCCGGTCCTGACGTGGAATCCTCCTTATTTCCTTTCGAATGATCGCTATCTTGGATAGAGGCAGACGCAGGACACATTCCTTCGCGTCTCCTTCGAAACCCAAGAACTCAACCACCTGGGAAGGGGAGAGAGCCGACTTGTCCTGGTTGACCACGAACCCCAGGTATTCGAATAAGGAGACCACAGAGTGCGTCTAAAATGTCAGTCTGCAGGACTCCTTGCAGAGGGAGCCCGGCGCTGGAGAAAGGTAAGTGTTTAACCCATTCCTCCCCTGGATCCTGGCGGGAGTGGGACCCTGAGGGTGGGGGGGACCTTAAGACCATATAGTGCCAGGAAAACAAGTTTGTTTTCCTGGCACTATAGTGGTCCTTTAACTGCCCATACAGATACGAAGTACAGATGTTTTATCAGTGCAGGAAATGCACAGTGGTGATCAGATTGTATCTGTACAATTAGCTGTGAACAGAATTGATATGTTTCTATAATCTAGGACATTATTGGTTTTAAAAGTCACACTGGGAAAACTCATTGATTTTTTTTGTATCAAAGTCCCAAAAGCTATAGATATTAATTCTCTTTTTCTTTTTGTGAAAAAAAAACAAGAATTGCAATTTCCTAACAAGATTGAAGAAAAAAACTTATATGAGGCCTCAGTGTGAAGCCTTAAAAGTGAAACCCACAAATAAAAGATTAACACGGGTGTTCCAGTTAATCTACTGTGTGTGTTTCTATTTCTAATTAAATCTTTAGGTAGGTCTACTCCAGTTTTAGTATTAGTCTGTGTCTAAAGAGTCTCAAATTGTTTCAAATGCTTAACATTTGTCATTTATTATTAAGGCTTGGTGTTGAAATAGCTACTGCCACAGTATATCTACAACCAACTTTACATTTGGAACATGTGATCGGTGGTGGTTTCTTTTTTGGAGAGTTGGAGCTTTATGGACAAGGAGGACTTGATGTAACATTGCTGGGTACTACAGAGTAAGTATTGTCAACGTGAACAATATTCATTACATTTTGTAAAATCAATGTTGTGTCATTTCTGTCCTCGGTCAAATGTCAGCAAACTTGCATTAGGTAAATAAAACCTTCAGAAGATTTAGTATCATTGAGTTATGTTTGTGACGGGGACAGCCAGTAATGGTATGGTAATGGTATGGTATGTAGCAAATATATTGGTCAACTTATCTGCAATACAGCACCAGGCTTAGCTCCGAGTACTCCTTTCCACGCCTCGACAGATGTCACACTCACACTGTGTGCACGGTTTATTTAATATATATATACACACACCTGCACACTACAAAATGAAAAGTATTTGATTGGACATTTCTTAGTGGCTCTGAGGTTGCCTTTTTTATGAATGAGGAACTATGGATGGGTTTAGAGCCTCAGGCGACTACTCTAGCCAATCAGTACCGCCCCTACCTGTCAGCAAACCATGCTTCCTGAAACTCAAATTCTGAAACTGGATGCTCCTGGTGGAACTGAAGATCCAGCACTGACGTCAACCTTTGGGGTTAAACCATTTGAAAACTACTCAACCCCTCCAGGTAAGAAAGCACCCATGGGCCTAGTGGCACCATAACAACTTAATTTAGATGTAGTCGTTATGGTGATCATAGTGTTACTTTAAGTGAGACTAGAGTAGGCAGTTATGTTACCCTGTATAAACACTCTAACACAGGGGTGTTATTGTATTACGGTGCCAAAACAAGATCTTGCAGTTTCTTGGCCTGCCGGTCCTAAATTTTAAAATGAGGTGTGTATTTATAGGTGCTGCAGTTGTAACATTGTATTTGTGTGTATGTGAGCTGTTATACAATATATGTATATACCTATGAATGTGGGCTGTGTATGTGGACTGCATGTGTAATTGTGTGTGAGAGGCTGCTTGTGGGGTTGTGTGCGTGCACGTGGATTTTCAGTAGTGTTGTGTTTGTAAAAACTGTATGTGTGTGTGTGGGCTGTTTGTAATATTTGTATGAGTGGGAGGCTTCTTCAGCAGCTCTGTGTATAACAGTGTGAATTGCTTCCCTGGGGTCCAGTGGGCTCCGGGATGGGCAGGTACAGATCATGTACATGAGCAGCGATAGTTGCTGCAGGCTGCTCTACTCCAGTGCAAATTCCCATTCACAAGAGCTGAGAGAAAGTGATCTGAGTTCACTTCCACTTCGTGCTGCAGATGTCCTTCACCACCTGCAATCACCACTGTTTGGCACTGGCACCCTATGGTACATAGGCCATAGGTTGCTGACCCCTGCTTTAACATATTAGAGCAAAATGTTTAGTAACTCAAAATTACAAGATCGCTGGGGATTTTATTCTAGTTTATTGTTTACTTTAAGTTTTCTATGAAAGAGAGCTCTGAGGTTTAAAAGTGTTTGTTACACAGTTTAATGATGTACAGAAAACTGATTTTTATTATCTACCATTTCATTTGTTTGTTCAATATTCATAATGAGTCGATTTCGAACCCACTGATTTATATTTTTTATTTCCTTACAGAATAAGCTTGGCAGGACAATGTGCTATTTATGGAGATTTACTGACAAGCATTTACAGCGAGGTATGTTATATTGTTGAGAACACTGCCTAACGGGGAAATTGTGGTGATTATGTGTGTCTTGGTTTATGTGGTGATATGTGCATGTGTGTTATTTATTGCATATACTGTTTCTATTTTTATACACACATCTTATTTATTATATTATATATAATACCCAATTGACTTATTCAGAAGGTGTAATTGCCATTTTCAATAAGGTATGTTATATTGTTGAGAACGTTAACACAGACATGGAAAGACAGGGTAGGCAAGGTAAAATTTCCTACAAGCATGTATTCGAAAATCTACTCCTTTTAGGAGACTAACAAAACAGAGGTATTTTCTTTCTAACAATACACAAAACAATAATTAAACAGCACAAAGCTTTTTTTTTTTACCACCCAGGCTTAGTTTCACACTCTCTCTGTGTCTGTCAGGAGCCTAGTGAGAAAATCTCAGCAGGCTAAATAAGGCTGGGCAGTGTGAATAAAAGAAACAATACAGTCATCAAAACAGCTTTTTGTTTTGGTGTATATATCATGCCCCTGCAGAGTCACTGCTCAATTATCTGTCTTTTAGAAGTTGACACTTTGTTTGTGCAGCCCTAGGCATACCTCCTTGCATGTGACTTACACAGCCTTCCTAAACACTTCCTGTAAAAAGTCATCTAATGCTTAAACTTCCATAATTAGAAATTCTGTTTAATTTGCATTTTTTTTTATCTCCTGTAAGTGCATATCTTTGGCAAAGTGACTGTGACAGAGTGAGTGTGCCAGGGTTACTGTGCCAGTAGATTGTGTGTACTGACTGCTGCTCACCTTTTTATTGCAGTAAGGAAGGCTTTAATATTCATCCTTTGATGGTCCAATGGGCTGCCAGTAGGATCTACACCATTGTTGAGTGCCAACTCCTCTGTATGCCCCCCTTCTAGTCTCTGACCAGGACGGAGCATCTGCAGAGAGCTGCTCCGAGCCAGAGGTGCAGTCTGCACCGTCAGCGAGTGCAATCCTGGGCAGGGAGTTCTGTAGATTTCCCTACCGGTCAGTGCAGCTTGTGGGTCTCAGTAGAGCCGGCGCTAGTAGAGTAAAGCAGAGTAGAGTCAGCTTTGCTGTCTTGGCTATAGCAAACAAAATTAATTAACAATAAATTAATTGAATTTAAAATAGTTCAAATCGTGTATATGTTACAGTTAAAGTGAGAAATCAGTTAATGTGTCCATTACCTAGTTAATCTGCAGATTAACTGATTTGCTCAGTTAAAGTGCGGAATCGAGAGTTTTCCGCACTTTACCTTGGTAATGTGCACATTAACTGCTTCGGTCTAGTTAAAGTGCAAAATGTTTGTTTTGGGTAAAGATTATTTATTACAAAACGTCCTTGTAGAAACCTGTTTCACCCTTTTTCAGTGTAAAAGTTTGTTTCTTTCCCTCGGTAAAGAGGAAATTATTTATTACAAAACATCCTCGCAGCAGAACCTGTTTCACCCTTTCAGTGCAGTCTCTGCAGAGTCGTTCACTTCTCGTCTGAATGCAGAAAGATTCTGTGTGAACCTGTCTGGATTCTTTTGTGAGCAAGTTCCTTTTTAATGCCTTCCATTCGAATTCTCAAAGCATAGACGCATGGCTTGTTGCTTCTCAGAGGGGGCTGGTTACTAACAACAATGCTGCTCCGTAAGTCCGAGAAATACTTCTCATTGAGGAGAATGAGACGAAGGAGAGGTCTGCTCACGGACCACTGATTCCGACAGTCCTTCAAATATGATGATGATATTGAGAACAGCGGAGAGCATCTGCTGGATCCTTTCAGGGTGGTTGCTGCATAATGTGCACGAAGGCGCTCGCTCTCTTGTGGTGGTGGGGGACTCCTCGTTTCTTACCAGTTCTGGATAACTGTTTGAAGAGGAGGTATGTGAATGTGGTTTAGAAAGGTTTAGAAAAGCAAGCAAAGAAAATGTTAGCAGTTTCGAATGCAAAGCAGCCAAATGTCGATGAAGGTGTCACTGTGAGAATTAAAGTACCCGAAGTGGACAGAGCAAAAACTGATGCCCGCTCGATTTTTAGCTGTGGTTCTTAGTAAAACAGAGGATGGCTTTTATAAACTTGGTACTAAAACGGGTATTTTGAAACAATTGTATGCCAAATCGGAATTCGGTGTTTGCAAAGAGAGATTTTTAAAGAAAGAAGATGTCTCTGCTGTAGAAATATCTTTACGTCAAACAGTAATCAAACAATCCCTTGGTACTAGGCAGGGTTTCCGAAAATGTGACTGCAAATTGAAAATGTACCACAAATAGGTGTGCTTGTCGCAAAAAACAATTGCCATGTAATTCAAAGTGTCGCCAATCTTTAGATTGCACTAATAAGTAAGCATAGTTTTATAATGTGTTTGTTTAGCAAATTCATGTCCTTAATCGTTTGATTCTTTCTATTGCAGTTTTGTAACAGAAACTTGCTTCTTTGTTGCTAAATAAATAACATTATATTAACTTGATTCTTGTTTGATTGTACTAACTTGCTTCTTAAACGTTGCTGTTGTTCCAGCAAAAGATCTTATTTCGCACTTTAACTAGTGCCTAGTAGTTAATGTGCAGATTAACTAGGTATTGTGAGAAATCTTTGAGAAATTAAAAATGTTCTGCACTTTAACTGATCAGCCTACTTAATGTGCACATTAACTAGGTAATGTGCACATTAACTGATTTCTGCACTTTAACTGTAACATATACATGATTGAGGGGTATGGCTGAATCCACTCATAATCATGTATGGATGCAGCAGGTATATAGCCAAAGGACTAGAAAATTAGGAGAATTAAAATAATTAATGGAAAAAAGAAAGAATAAGAAGTACATATATTATTAAAATTACAATCAGCTTTTTTTGCAATACTACATACATAACTAATAATGGTGCTAACTGTAAAAAAAAAAAAAAGCTGATTGTAAGGTCCCTTTTTCCATTTTGCTTATTATTTTGTTTCCTATCCTCATCACAAAGACTGTCTTCCTCATCCACAAATATAGCTGTTTTGACTTATTCAGTTTTGAAGTGAGTTGTAAGCAATCGAGTTGTGACATTATGACATTTAGTGCAAAGTTGAAAATTCTAAAACATCTGTCATGTTAAAAGATGTTTTATTTTAACTTTTTTATTTGGCCATTGTGGAATCAATTGTACAATTCTCACAACTACAGTTCACAACATATAACTACACTAAATAAAATTATAAACGCAACACTTTTGTTTTTGCCCCCATTTTTCTCAAAGATCTAAGACTTTTTCTATGTATTCAAAAGGCCTATTTCTCTTAAATATTGTTCACAAATCTGTCTAAATCCGTGTTAATTTTAGAGTCGTCTTTTATTGTGGCCAGCCTAAGGCACACCTATGCAATATCATGCTGCCTAATCAGCATCTTGATATGCCACACCTGTGAGGTGGATGGATTATCTCAGCAAAGGAGAAGTGCTCACTAACAGATTTAGACAAATTTGTGAACAATATTTGAGAGATATAGGCCTTTTGTGTACATAGAAAAAAAGTCTTAGATCTTTGAGTTCAGCTCATGAAAAATGGAGGCAAAAACAAAAGTGTTGCGTTTAGAATTTTGTTCAGTGTATGCAAAAAATAATACAAACTGAAGAAAATAATGCACACCAAACCTACTACTAACGAAGTCCAAAAATTCTATTTCTATAAACTTCCAGTAACTATAATAGTTACCTTATGGGGCGGATCTAAACAGAATTCTTATTAATATTCAATTTAGATATCTCCTCTGTGAGATTAATTGTATTTCAAAAAAGATATGTAAAAAGGCATAAACTAAAAATATACTAAATAAATAAAGGAAAAAATTATATAGGGAAAAAACATACACATCTAGAAAAGTACTCATAAAATTAAAGTGTAATTCAAATTATTATACACGGAAAGGCTCTAAAGGTAGGATAGAGTCATTGCTATTTAAAATGCAATATTTAGTCAATAGGCAATATAAAGGGAGTGGAGCCTAGCTTCCATGCAGAGCAGACATGTTGAGACCAAGCTCCTGAGAATTTGGGAGCCAATTCCAGCTACTCAACAATCACACTGTCACGATTCTGGAACCTAACACGCTAACAGGAAATAGAGAGGAAAGGTGCTATACCGGTCCTTAGAGTGGCCGGGCTAAGCACACTAAGAATGGTCAGGAGACAAGCCAAGTAAAGGGAGCCAGGAAACGAGAGAATGAGAAACAAGCCGAGGTCAAAGGAGTGGAGAATACAGGATAATCGGAATAACAAGCCAAATAATCGGTAACCAGAGAGAAACACGAGCAAACTGCAATGCAGGTATCACAAGACCACAACAGGGCACTGAGAGACAGGAAAGGTAAGTATAAATACCCTTTGCTTAATTCTGATTGGATAACTTCCAATCAGAATTAACAATCACACATGGGAGATATCTACGTCTCCCACTGTGATTGTGGTACTGTTGCTTTAACGCCGGGTCACATGCTGCCGCTGGGAGGCGTGGAGGATGCGAACGGCGAGTGGTGGAGAGGAGACGCCGCTCGCCGACAGGTAGGCGATGGACAGAGGGTGAGTGCTGCAAGTGGGGGGCATCTGAGTAATCATTCTGACACCTGTTTCATGCATGTACCCAGCCGGGGACCCGAATTACTCTGCTACGGCCTACTAGGGACTGAGCCAGGGAGAGGCGGCCGCTCTCCTCACTTGCAAACTCTCTTACTGATCCTACAGCACTCCTACCCTCCCCCGTCTAGACCGGTGGGCATATCCCGGTCCCCGCTGGATAACTGAGGCTGTCTACCTTAACTGAATCCTGAGCCATGTGCAGAAAGGTAAGGGAGCTTCTCCCATATGGAGCAATAAAGATGACGACTGCGCTTCTATGCCTGAGACCTTATCACAACACGACTGAAACTACCCGGTAATGTCTAGATATTAAATTTTTTAAGATTTTGGGAAAGAATACAAATACACACGCTGGCAGTCTGGATTGAGCAGCAGGAGCACTCAGAGACACTACCAACAAACCACCTACCTATGCCAGGCGATCGGAGAAGCAGTTGGCAGGGAGTGGAGGGGCCCCTATCGGGCACAGCACCCGTACACTCACCTACTCTCCCTTTCATTCGCCCATGCGGGGTGAAGACCTCAAGGGTCATGAATCAGGCGCGTCACCCACGACAGCGGAGGTCCGCACGCCACAAGTGGCAACTGACCATCAAGTCCTCCTGCAAAAAACTTGGGCTCGGGGTGTGGTTAATTTGTTAACTATGTGTGGGCTAGGAACAATAGATGCCTCTGATATTTTAAACTGTTATCTTAGCAGAAACGTTACAGAAGCTAGTTACCCCATATATGTTAAGATATGACTAAGCTTAGGAGTCAAGTACGGGTTCCGTGTGTGTAGGGGGGTGGGGAGTAGGTCAATGGGACTAGAAATTAACATTATGTCAGTGAGACAGTATTCAAATGGTGCCTGGTAGTGGCACGTATGAATGCTTTGCCCATTCAAAAAAAAAAAAAATGAAATAAAGGTTTGGCCGTGGGATCCAACATTATATAGTAAAGCTCAATAGAACTCATGAAAAAATAAATGAGTACATAAACAAACTATAAAGAAATTGATAAACAAAACGGAATAGTAAGTCAAGGCACTGGAGCAGGTGACGATAACTCCCTGCAGGCTGCTGGCACAAATGGTGTAATCCTCTCTGGGTCCCAGGAGGTAGTGTCGCTGGCGAGGGGGTAGTCGGCCCAGAGGCTTGCTGTAATGCTCAGTCCTTAATAAGAACAAATTAATTCCCAGAGAGCAGAATTAGAATCCCTTGCTTCCCAAATAACTAAAGGTAAGAACCGATAATATATCGCAGAATGGGAGAACTGAGCATAGAGTCCTTTTCAGATAATGCGGATTACGGTTCTTTGCAGTACGAGGAGAAGGCAGGACTCTGAGTTGTAGCTGTTCCTTTTTCAGGGAGAATAGAATTAGCGTTGTCAGAATCAAGCCACGGTTCGGTACACAGAATCCAGAAGAGACGCTCCATCGACAAAGTAGGTAGTCGAGATGCACAACGACTGGAAACATATTATTATTATCATTTCCATTTATATAGTGCCATCAGATTTCGTAGCACTTTACAATATTATAAGAGGGGGAATTTAACTATAAATAGGACAATTACAAGAAAACTTACAGGAACCATAGGTTGAAGAGGATCTTGTTCAATCGAGCTTACAGTCTATAGGAGGTGGGGTATAACACATTAGGACAGGAAATAGCAATCAAATAAGATGGGAGTGAAGCAGAGCTGGAGGAGAGAGTAAAGTGCTGCCCTTTAGGAGAGAGCAAGAGGCAGGTATGGGAGGCCATAAGCTTTCCTAAAGAGATGGGTTTTAAGGCACTTCTTAAACGATTGAAGACTAGGGAGGAGTCTGATGGTGGTAGGAAGGCTATTCCATAGAAAGGGAGCCGACTGCGAGAAGTTCTGCAAGCGTGAGTTGGCCGTACGGGTGTGGGAAGTGGACAGGAGAAGGTCACGGCAGAGCGTAGAGACCGAGAAGGGGCATACCTATGGATCTGTTAAGAGATATAAGAGATGCTAGAATTGTTCAGTGCTTTATAGGTATGGGTTAGCATTTTGATTGACTACTAAAGGATACAGGAAACCAATGTAAGGACTGACAGAGTGGTGAGGTGTAAGAGGACCGATTACAGAGGAAAATCAGTCTGGCTGCAGCATTCATTACAGACTGTAGCGGGGCAATATGGCATTTGGGAAGACCAATTAGAAGAGAGTTACAATAATCCATGTGGTAAATTATTAGAGCATGAACAAGCTCCTTGGTAGCATCTTGCATAAGAAAGAGCCAGATGCAGGCTATATTTTTAAGATGGAATCTATGGGATTTGGCAAAATACCGGATGTGAGGCTCAGTGGTAAGGCCAGAATCAAGTATGATGCCAAGACAGCGTGCGTGCAAGGATAGACTTTTGTGGGTATCACTAATTTAAAGGGAGAGCAAAGAGAATGATCAGTATTAGGAGAAGGAAAGACAAGGAGCTCAGTTTTAGAGAGATTGAGTTTCAGAAAGCAGGAGGACATCCAGTCAGAGATGGAAGAAAGGCAAGCAGTGACACGTTGAAGGACGGCAGGGAAAAGGTCCGGGGAGGAGAGATTTATCTGGGTGTCATAAGCGTAGAGGTGGCAGTGGTACATATGTAGCGTAAAGCACACAAAACATTTAATTAGTCCTTTAGATGTGAATGCAGCTTCCTTTTGAAGGGAAGCACGTGACGTCAAATGCATGGGCGGAGTCTGATCGGCGAAACCCAGAAGTGACAAGGGTATTGCCGATCAGGCCGAAAACAACATGGAGAAATGCTGAGAGTAAATGGAGGGATCCTGACACTTGCATTGCCAAGCCAAGTTGTTGGAGGGCATATGTGATCTCAGAAGTGTCTCCGATCCGCTACGATGATGTCAGGTAGGTCGCGTAGTTTAATATTTTTCCAGTGCCGCTTATCTTCTAGAACAGCAATGCGGTCCTGGTTTTGCTTATGAGACTGCTGTATAGTAGATAGTTGCTTCTCCAAAGTGGCAATGCGAGTCTTGTGGGCTTCTGTGTTCAGCTCCGTGTTGTGGAGTCGGGCTGAGACTCCATTGATTTCCTCGCGAAACTGGCCAATGTCGGCCGTGATATTGAGGCGTGGTTCATCTAAGAGGCTCCGCAGAGTGTCTTCAGTCACCGGAGGTTTGTTGACTGGTTTGGAGTTGAGTGAGGGGTTCTACCCTCTGGTTTCACCCAATGATCTGTTTTTATTAGTAGGGACTCCTCCCTGGAAATGTGTGAGAGTCCATCTGACAGAGGCACCATGACAGGCCTCTGCAAGGATAGCGACCTCCACAGCAAATCACCTATGTCGGCTGTCATCTGTGGGTGGTCAGGCTTATATTTTCTTGCTTCGGCGCCTCATGTCAACAGGTAGGTATCTGCAGCAGTTAGTGCAGATAAAACTTGAATTTCCTTGTGTTTTCAGCTGTATTTGTGGAATCTCACTCAGAGCTCTGGTAATGTGCAACCAGGCAGTTTAACTGCTAGCTACGCCCCTCCCTCCCTCCCTCCCCCTCCCATTCCCCTGACATATACCAATTATTTATACATCTTCTATTACACCTTTATTTTATTTTTATTTTAAAGAATTCTGTCTAAATCTACACTGTAAGGTATCTATTACAGCTACTGGCGATTATATACAAATATATACTTTTTGGACCACATTGGTAGTAGGTTTGGTTTAAATTGTTTTCTTTGGGTCACAACCAATTTCTTTATATGTAGAGAACAAATAGCAATAGGTCTCTGATTTCAGTTATTTAGTGAATACATTAATAATAGTATTTAGTTTGCAGTTGTATGACCTTGAGATTTTGGGGTAAAATAAAAATAAATCTAAATTCAATATGCAACTCTGATAGAAAGAGTACATTAAATATATTAAAATGATTCTGTCTTCCTCCCTTTAGTTGGTTGATCAAGCACATGTTTGGTGCACAAGCATTGAGAGTAACCCAGCATATAGTAACGGTAAATATCCTTGTCAATTGTTAATTCATGTAATTTTTCTTTTTTTTCCTGTCTCTTTTTCACTCATGCATTTTAATGCAAACAGATCTAGATTTCTACATTCCAATCTTCTGCCCAAAATGTTAATGTCTGATCGATACTAAGCTAATAAATCAGTTTTTCCATGATATGAACACACACCCTTGCTCCCATCCCTATCAGACATTGTTCATTGTATTCAGGAATGTCCAGATTTTACGAATCAGGCAGCAAACGGATTTCAGCCAGACTAAACACCGCCGAATGGTATAAAACTGGACCCAAATGCTTTAAAAAAATCCAAACTATTTATCTGTTAATAGTTACCATAGTTTAAAACCTGTATCTGAAAAAGGGTTAATACTGTGGAGGCTGGTCAATGCTTGCTAGTCAGCCTTCACAATAAAGTAAAAATAAATAAACAAATAAATTAATTTGAAAGTGTTTGAGTGTATAAGGGCTTTGATAAACCTCCTGGTGCCTCCATCTGTTCATCAGCTGGGGGACTTTTAATTCAGTATTGGGAGGTGGAAAGAACATTGTCCACCCCCTGCTTCCATGTTTGGCCACTGGGTGAGGGCTATAGAACTATAAAAAATGTCCCCCTCAGCACAACAGCCTGTGGGTGATGTACTAACTTTATATTGAGGGGAACATAATGTCCCAAGCTCTCACCCACTGGTGGTGAATGAGAGCTCTCTTTATAATACAGGGAGTCCTAACATACCCACACAAGACCCCACCCACAAATGACAGGTTTGGAATCTTAGTATAATAGAAGGGGGTACCAAGTGTCCAACCACCAAGTCCCAACCTATGGGTGGCATAGCCGTTTGTGTTGGGTGGGGACACTAATAATATCAAAAGGGGAAGGACATGCTAATGTTTACCCCCCAAAAAGTGTTTGTGCCCAATCCCCGTGGTGGCTAGGTGTCCACAAACCACTAGCTAGCCCCCCATTAAAATAAAGTAACCCTACATGCCCCCATATCAAAATAATAGTGAGGAAATAGCCATTAAAACTAAAACTTGTAAATTATAAAGTATACTTACCATCAGACATCTTTTTCTAACTCTTCTAAGACCAAATTAGAATCTGCAATTCTTGATGCAACTAATAAAAAATAAAATAAAAATTAGCAAAAAAATATGCAGGAGCAAAAAATAAAAAAATGTGATGCAATGAAAAGAATCCATCTTTGCCTTGTGAGGGCTTGGTGCAGACCGAGCTTCCATAATGGAGAAAGCCCATATAAGGGCTTTCCTGCCCTATGTAATATCAGTTAGAGTGCACTGATTGGTTGGCTTATAATAGTCAGAGTGTTCTGACTAAGCTTACATAGCGTATTTAGCGAATAACCCTAAATGGGTGAAGGAGATAGAGTATGGGTGATGTTTAATTAGAACAAAACCTGAGGGAATTGAAAAATAGGTTTGCAGGGACAGCCTGTTTGCACCATAAACACCTTCCTAAACAAACTTCCTAAATTTCAAGAAAACTGTCCCAAATATGAAATCTCATTTAAAAAAAAAAAAAGATAATGTTACAATACACTAAGTCCCCCTTTGACTAAAGCAGCAGTTATAGCAAAGATACATGACGCATTGATGGGCAAATTCTGAGCTATGGTTCACTGTAACATGGGACCCTGGATTTATTTTACTCATCAACTTTCATAACATTCTTTGTTTAAGGTTCTCAAAGAGCATCATTCTCACTCTAACACCATCCCTTTCTTACACTCTCTTAGTTTATTTTTCTAACATCTTTTGTGGCTTTGCTCCTTCTCCTTCTCCTTTTGTTTTATTTTTTTCTTTTGTAGATTTTCTCTCTCTTTTGGTTTTGTAAAAAAAGGGTCAGTGGGGTGTATGCATTTCTCATGGGTTCAGGACTCTTGTATTTTATAGATTTTGTGTTTAATATTTTCTAATGTCCTGATTTGTTTCTTCCATTTTATATCCACACCTACTTATAACGAATATGAAAAAATACACTTGTCATCTTAAAAAAAAATAAAAGCAAAACATTTAAAGGACCACTATAGTCCCACGATAACATACTCATTTCCCTGGCACTATAGCGCCCTGAGGCGCGCGCGCATTCAGCCAGTCTCATAGGAAAGCATTCATAATTCTTTCCTATGGACGCCGACGTCTTCTCACTGTGAAAATCACAGTGAGAAGAACGTAAGCGCCTTTAGCGGCTGTCAATAAGACAGCCACTAGAGGCTGGATTAACCCTATTATAAACATAGCAGGTTCTCTGAAACTGCTATGTTTATAGAAAAAAGGGTTAAACCTAGCTGGACCTGGCACCCAGACCACTTCATTAAGCTGAAGTTTTCTGGGTGCCTGTAGTGGTCCTTTAATGGCCAATTGAGGGATTCTAAAAGCCTCCAGTTATTTAAATGTGTGTAGGGATTTGGGATAGTGCGCAGGTAACTTTTTATTGGTTTTTATTCTACGTATAGGGGCTGATGAGGGAGGAGAGGGGGAAAAAGGCAAGTTAAAACCTATGGTTTGCAGCCCAAAAGTGTGAACCCTGAATTTAAATAGGGACTAGGACACTACACTAAAGCGCTAAGAATATATTTATATTCCTAATATTAAAACGTTCATTTAATTGCATACGTATAATTAAAATGTTGATTGGTGGAGAACCATTTTGAAATATGTTGAGACAACTAAAGATAGTTTATGATGGAATGCTTTGAAATGTATCTTTTTTTTTTCTTTTTACAGCTATCTGCTGGTAGAATTGCAGAGTTTAATATGAAGACATTTATCCTTTCCGCAATAAAAAAAAAAAGGCTGATCAAAAAAAGGATTAAATCACAGCTTTACAGAATGCAGAGAATACATGGCAATGTTTTTTTTTAATTTCTCTATAATCATTAAGACTATGGAACATTCTAAATTATGGGTTCTGTGTTTTCATATTAAGTGAAGCATCTATTCTAAATGTTGTTCATGATTTCAATAAATCATACATTGCATCATTATAATGTTTGATGGCTTCTGATTTTATATGAACTAAATATATCTTTAATTGACTATGCCACCTTATTTCATTACACCATCCCCAAAACATCACTTCCCTACTGCTTGAGAAGCAGAACTGGTATTTTTTTTCCCCAAAGGGGAAAAAGTTTAATTCCCTGGACCATACTACTTGATCAGGTTGCCCCCTTTCTAACCCAGAAGCTAGAATGGATTGGATGATCATTGATAAAGTGACACCTCTAGAATGACATTGTGGCAGTAGGATCAGAGCAATCACATGATGAAGGGAACATTTTACGTTCCCAGGTATGGAAAGTGTAAAGATTTTTACATTTGTGCATAGTTTACATAGGGATAATGGAAATTAAACCCCGGTGAGTGTGCCAAGTACCCACACTATAGTACTCAGTAATATTCACTAACTGGTGCAACTTTGATGCAACTTATAGTAAAAGGTACCCATTTGACTACAAGCACTTCATAGTAAACCATATATACAGCAACACTATATACTATTCACCTCATGGTGCTGGAAGTTCATTCCCACGCCCCCCGCTCCCCTAACCCCCAATAAAAGCTCTTATACTGGTTGAAATGCTAAGCCTATTGAGACCAGACACAAGGCACACCCTATCTAGTCCTGTAGCAGAGAACTGCAGTTTTCTTATGGATTGGTGTCGGTGCAATAGTTTGATTGTTTGAATGAACATGTACTTTGTCCTGAACAACAGTGTGGCCTTCTCAAACATCTTCAGTAAACTATGGTTGTTTAATAAGATTGATTAGTGAGAGAGACTATTGACAAGACACATAAAACTGACCAGTTCATTGTTCAAGGGGCAATACTCAACATTGTGTGTGTGATGGGATTACCAAGGGAATAATTTTACCACATGACAGGAGGCTACATTTTTTGCTATAAACTCTATTTGCTAACTCGAATAGCAGCACAAATCAAAACGAAAAACACAGATCAATAAAAAAACAAGTACAGGGTGATATAAGAGCATGTTCCTAAAAGCACCTCCTCTCTCTTTGCTGCTTTTGCATCAGCACAGGTCAGAGTTTTGGGCTCTTGTAGACTACACTAAGCATTATTTTAATTTCGACTTTTATTGGTATTTTTAAAAAATATATATATATATTTCACTTGTGCCTTTATTTACTTTACAATTTGATTATTTACCTGTATATTTGTGATTTTATTTTAACCCCTTAAGGACACAACTTCAGAAATAAAATGGAATCATGACAGAATATTTCCATCATGTGTCCCTAAAGGGTTAAAATGTATTTAGATTGTGCACGCCTATGCTGTACACATTCCCTGTCTAAGCCTTTCATCTGTGTTCCTCTCATCTGTTTCTACCCACCCTGTGGCACTGATTATCATAGCACCACCTAATTTTCCTTTTTCTCTTTGTACTGTATGGGGCTTGCAGTACCTGGTGTTCAATTGTTCAATTGCTCTATACCCACGTGTGGTCCACAGGCACAAGGCAGTCTCATAGCATTCCACCGATATTGGGTGTACTTACCTAAGTTAATTAGCTATGGACTATCTGGCAGTACTGGGTGCTTTCGGGTGAGCCCCCATTCTTACTGTATACATTACTGGGGTGAGCCTCCATCATTACTGTGTTACAATACTGGCCTAAGTCCGTATTATTACTGTATTACTTTGCTGGGATGTATTACATAACCATCTACAGGTGGGTGCCCAAAGCCTGTCCTCATGGATAAGGTCACCATAACATCAGTATTCCACTCTACATTTGTTATATTTATGTCCCACACCCGACGGAATGGACAAGTGCTTCCGCCGGGTCCAGGAAAAGCTCTTGGATGTTATAGGACCTAAGGCCAAGATACCATATATGGCCAATGATGCCATGGCATGGGGTTTCCCTGGATCCTTTCTGCATTCAAGAATGGGCCCAATGCTCTTTCTTTACCTGCCGGGTAA